CTTGTTAAAAACTGATCTTGCTGTCTAGCCTTCTTTCACAGCCATATCTGGAGTTCATTTCATCTCATACCTAAAGTAACTATCTAAAATAGATCAGACAACTCACACCTTTGGAAATGCTTCTTTTTCCTCCTCGGACTATAAAGAGAAACTGATTGAGTGGCTCATCTGAAAGTGTCTGCACCGAATCCATGCAATGCTGCGTCGTAAGTGGATCCTACCATCTGTGTGCGACGATCACGAGAAGTGTCATGCCCTCTATAGATAAACTTCTTTGTATTCAACTTTAAAATACATTTATCGAAGTGCTGATGGGATTTTTCTGGGTGTCTCATTTTGAGAACTGTGCCTCCTCTTCTGATAGACAATGGGCTTGCAGTTACCTTTCCAACAGACTTCTGTTCTTCCACCTGGTTGCAGGCTGACAGCAATGATAAATAGTGGACCCACTGCTAATGTTCATATATGTTTTTCCTCAAACTTTGCAATATCATCATAGTTAAAAGCAGTTCAAATGCAGGTTTTAATATATGTAAATTTGAAATTGTCAGATGAAGCAAATTCTGATTTATTCTAGTGATACTCTGGTGAATGAACCGAAGCATTTTGAAGATTTGAAAAAAAAATAATAATTAAGGTATTAAGAGCTAGGCAAAGATAACTCTTCTTCACCTAAATAGAAGTATGAGAATGGATCAGTTTATCTGAAGAATAGGTTTGATTGCATTTCCTGTATTCTGAATTCTTTTAAGAGAAAGAAAGTTTCAATACGTACATTCTTCCCTTGTGTTAAAACTAAATTAATTAAACAAGAAGTTAGCATTTAAAGACTAATGCAGGAACATTGCAATTAAAACCATTATAGAAAATAACATTTTCCTGTGTTGCATATATTCTTGCTAAATGGTAGAAATGAGCTGTGTTTTGATTTGCTCACTGAGTATCTATCTGGTGACAGCATAGAGCCCCACTGGCAAAATAGAAAAATAGAATCTTTAAATAAAGACCCATAATAAATCAATAAATATATAATCATCACAGTAAAATTTGTAAAATTCTGTCAATAAAATCCAATAGCAAGTGTAAATATGGCAGATAAAATGATTGTCTGCAGTTAACTACCAAGCTTCAGGGGAAAGTGAGAACATCTGGTGACAGCATAGAGCCCCACTGGCAAAATAGAAAAATAGAATCTTTAAATAAAGACCCATAATAAATCAATAAATATATAATCATCACAGTAAAATTTGTAAAATTCTGTCAATAAAATCCAATAGCAAGTGTAAATATGGCAGATAAAATGATTGTCTGCAGTTAACTACCAAGCTTCAGGGGAAAGTGAGAACTTTCATATTTATGGATTTAGCAAGTTTATTTCTTTTAGCTTTCATGACTAAATAATACATTTCCATGTATTTCATTGAGTTAATTTAATCTTTAGCAAATCTCTTAATGTATTTTTATACAGAATAAGCTAATCAAGGCTTTTTAATACAGACTTTGTCAAAGTTTCTATTTCAGGAGTTTACCTTTCGCTGGAAAGAAAGGGGATGGTGGGACAATGTTTTTTCCTTCTGGGGTTCCTGAAGTTATTGGAGTAATAAAACTCTTTTTTCTACATTTAGAAATCACTAGAATGGTCCTTTAATTAGATGTGAATCTGATTTTGTAATTAAAGTTTCCGCAAAAACGAACACCGTGCTGTTACATGCAGCCAGGTGACCAAAAACTCTTTCTTGAGTTCTATCTATGTTGATAGAATGCCTGGAATGACTTCTGGGTCAGAATCTTTCCTTGCGCTGGAGAGTTCTGCTCTAGAGAAGACGCGGATTAGGTGGGTTTGCACTCTGTATGTGCCCTGTTAGACGTGAGAGCTGATTTTCTACTTGTGGTTGCTTAGGACATGAGAGCTGGGCTAGCTGTAGGTAATATGCCAACTCTTTTTATTTGGCCAGTCGGTAGTCAGCTTGGAGGGATATCTGTGTAATCCCACATCTCCTGCTGGCACCTGCAGGAGCTGCTTGTGGTTGTGTTAATTAATCCTGGTTTATTAATATGCAGGGGGTCTGATGGGAGGCTGTGATTTCCTGAGGGCATCCGCTTCTCTTTAGATCTCCACGAGGGTTGCCCTCCTGCACCTCTGCATTGGGGTTGTGTCAGAGGGCCCATACCAAAACCTGGCAGATGTCAATATGCAATTCATGCCCTTTGAGGAACTAAGTCACCCCTTAGTATCTCTGCTGACCCTCATTAAAGGCACCAAGAAGTGCAAGTTACTGAGGCTGCAGGTAAGATGCTTGGAAAAACTGAGCTTGCTCTCTCAGGGCTCTTGTATGTGAGCCAAGCCACTCCATGGCTGTTGGGTGGATGGTAGGTACTCCCCTTTGGAGTGGTGCTTAAAGCAGCTTTAGTGTTTAGACTTCAGGAAAAAAAAAAAAAGAGTGAAGAAAACAAGTTGTTCCTCCTGGGAGAGGCTGGCACCACTGGCATGCTGGTAGGTAGGCTGCCAAAATAATGACAACACAAGAAACCTGCCTTCTTTTGCAAAGCTTTTGCATCAGTGATTGTGGGAAAGTTTTGCAATCACCGTAAGAAGGAAATCCAAGGTTTAAAAAAAACACTTCTTGGAGTAGGCAGCGCTTTTGCTGTGACGTTGCGCTGGCTTCAAGCCTGAAAGCCCTAGGGCACGGGAAAGAAACAGCCTGACAGCGCAGTGACAAAAAGTAAGTTCTCTCTCTCTCTGCCTCTCACTGTCTCTCCCCACTCTCCCTTCCCGCTTCTTTCCATTTGTTTGTTTGTTTGTTTGTTTAATTGTTAGGTGCTAGTGCAGGACAGACTGCTTTTGTACATCTCAGTGTCACTAAACTTGAAAGAGATTATGTAAAGTGAAAAGGTACAATTCTGCAAATTAGATTTTTTTTTTTAAAGGATAAGCACTGTGGACAGTGGGATGTTTTATCCCTCCGTACAAAAACTATTCATTACCATTAATTCATTTTTCAAAATTGTCATAAATTAAATCTTGTATTATTTTTCTTGCTTCATTTAATTTTAAATACCACTGCTGTCAATGATTCACTGATTTGCCAAAGTTCAGATGTTTATAAAGTGGTTATGGAAAATGTTATTGTTTCATTAGGCGTAAGAGAAGTGTTTATACAGTTTAACATTTTCTATAAGTTTAAGGTAGATTATTAGGCTGGCAGCATAACATTAAATACTGTGAAAAGAAAACCATGTCACTGATTTAAATACTGTTTATTTAACAGAGTCAGATGTTTCACAAAGTTAATCATCAGCAACACACAAATCAATACAGAATGTATTTGCTTTAGAGAACCCTGTCTTTCAGCTCCCAACCTGTAAAGATTGGGGTAAATCTGAATTCACCATACTTTAATTATCTATAAATTCTTTTTTCAATGTTTTTTGATTTGTGAGCTGCAGAAGACAGTCTAAGGAAGGTTAGGTCCCTTTAGAAACTTCATATGTGGATCACTCCGAAATATACATGTGTTTGCTTTTCATAGTCACTTTTGGTGGATCCTACTGGAGTAGGATTTGGAACTGAAAACTACAGAATTTAAGTTAGAGTGCTTATGTGGCTTTGTATCTCTTTATTAGACATTAGTGCCTATTCACACTCATTAGGAGTAACTTTTGGGGGCTATTGGGTTGCTAAGAGAGTGTTGCCCTTTCTGGGCATGGTTGGACATTTCTCAGGGAGTCCAGGTTGCTCCTCGGCATCTTGCTTGGAAGAACTGAGCTCTCCAGAGAAACAGAGCAACCTTTGCGGGTTAGCCCAGGACCCTGCCACAGCCCTACTGCCCCTGGTGTTGAAAATCCCTCAAGACACTTAAACGGCCTCCGCACATGGGTCAGCTGGCCTCTGGGGCCTGCAGGAGGTGAACTTTGAGAACTTCCCAGAGGAATTAAACAGAGTGGGATATCTAAGATCCCAGTGTCTTGGGGGGGAAATGTTACAGGACGATTTCTTGACCTATGTTCCTCTATATTCCTCTAATACATGTGCCAATGTATAGTGGAGCTAACTAATTGATTGTCAGTTTTCCAGCAGAGGAACCTGGCAATAGCTCTTTTTGACTTGTTATTGTTCCAGAACTCTCTGTATTAGCTGGTTTCCCCTGGTCAGCTTAATCTACACCAACCAATTTTGCTAAGATGACTCCTTATATCAGAGCCAATTTTTAAACGGAAAACTGTGGCAGTCTCATTAAAATAGCTACATTTATCAACTGTCTTGCAGGAACTTGTGGAGACTTGTGGACTTAAAGATAATCATTATTAGTTTCTTTTAATCAGTGCCCTCTTTTTCCCTAATACACCTTTACCTACCATATCTCTTACCCTATTTTCTCCTCAGTCATCGTTCGTGGTCTGATTCTACAAACATTTATCCAATAAATAACGTTACTCATAGGAATGTTGGCAGAATGGTACAGAGTAGTGTTCAGTATTTCTGCAAATTCATAGATTACACAGTTAGAGAAAATCCTCATAAATATAATATCAGGAGCCTACTGGATCATACCAGAGGTCCATTTAGCCTGGAACAGTGATCAAAAGTGGGTATCTAAAAGAGAATATAAGAATTGGTTCAAGCATGGTGAAGATGTTTCTCTGACATACTCTCCTAGCCTCCAGCTGCCTAGGGACTGTCCTCCTCTACAAAGGTTTCTAAAAACTGTCAGCAAGTTGCCTCTAAATTTTCTATCTACCCAAGAAGGTCCTGAAGTCTTTTAGAAAGCAGATTTCACAAAGCAGGTGCACCAATCCTTAATTCATTACAATGACACTTTGAACACTCTTTAACATCCTTCCTGAGAAAAGGTGTCCATGTGTAGACGTCTCAAGTAGTGTCTCACCATCTAGTATGTCTGAAAAACATTGGAACCTTTATTCTTATGCAAACAATAGTTAATCATAGTGATATTTTCCAAACAGGAAGACCTACATATCAGATGTGGAGGAGGAAAACCATGGACAGGCCAATCATTGCTGGCCAACTTAAAGACAAGTCACTCTTCCAGGACAGTGATGGCAGCGCAGTTCCTGCCAAAGGCGTGTGCCATAATTGTTCAAAGCTAAAGGTATGGAGAGGAGCCCTCACCACATATTTTCTCTGGAATATTGAAAATGACAATTTGAAGTTCTATCAAAATTCAGTTAGTTCTGTATGACACTGTTTGACACTACATGTGTTGGAAACAACACTCTAGGTTGTGATTCCAAGCACACAGAAGTCAATAAATGTGTTCAGCAGTTAAAAAGAGAGGCCATATTTTACTAACGAATCATTCAGAGGTGTGCTATAGTCATAGTGGTAGTTGCAACTATATCTTTTTATCCACGTTTTTTAGAACAGGAGAAGTAGGAGTAATAAGACATGCTGTAATAATAGTACCAGTAATGAACAACTTTATGCTGCAAGTTTTCCCTAAGGAAGGAAACAGCTAAAACAATATGTGGTAGAAAAGTAGAAGGTGCACACAGTCAATGTCAACTTTCTTTTTCTTTGCAGTAGAAGAGGCTTTGGAGGCCATCCTGAAAGAGGAAGTAAAATCTTCTGTTTTAATGAAAACAATAGGGAAAATCTCTTCACAGACAGTTAGAAAGCAAAGCATTTGATTTTTGTGTTTCTTGAGTAGGTTGCTCAGGCATCCAGCCATGAAGAAAAAATTGTTTCTTTGCAAACTCAATTATTTTCTCTCTTCAGATATTTCTTGGAGCTCTAGCTTTTTCCTTTTTTGCCAAAGGATTTTCTGGAAGCTACATGAAGAGCATGTCCAGTCAAATTGAAAGGAGATTTGAAATCTCATCATCAATTGTTGGCATTATTGATGGCAGCTTTGAGATAGGTATGTGTACTTTCTTTGAAAGTGGATAAATACTGCTTCTTAATAAATTTTTCCCCTAAAAAAAAAATCTCTTTTTGTAATCTTACTGGTTCTCTTTTCTGTTGATTCAGGTAACTTAATGGTAATGGTGTTGGTGAGCTACCTGGGACCACGAGTTCATCGACCAAAAGTAATTGCTGTTGGATGTCTCATCATGTCCTTAGGAGCATTTTTGTCAGTGATGCCTCAGTTCCTAATGGGACGGTAAATATGGAGAGTTTTCACATTGTGCTCTAATTGAATTTGACCATATGATGTGTTTTTTAATCATACAGCTGAGTTAAAAGCTTGACAATAGTAGTTTCTTCCAGATACCAGGAAGGTTTTAATAGGTGGATTTTGTAGTATTGACTTTCTGATTTCCTCTCTGAAAGCTTACCTCTTTCTACAGGTAAGTAAGAGAGAAACCTCAGGTTTCTACAGAACTTATCCATAATTAGGGGTAAAGTGGGTTGAATTTTTCACCTGGGATGGATATATATATAGATACGGGGTTTTTTTTAAGCTGTTCTCCTTTTTTTTTTTTATACTTAAATGAACTGTAATAAGATCTTGATGGAAACGGTGTCTTTCTCCATGGTGGCTATTCATGCTAAGCTCTTTAAATTTATGAAGATTTGTATCTATCTCCACTGAACTCAGGGAGAGTTAAATCTCTAAATACCCCTTCACGTCTAAGCTTTAGTGCTTACATAGTTGTCAGAAGCTGTTCATACCTCTCCAATCCTTCAGCGTCCTTACTGAATAATAGTTGAAAATAAAACCCCTCTGTCCCTCAAAAATTAGAATTTATTTGTGCACCTTCTTTAGTTCCAAGACCAATACCTTTGATAAGGAGGGTATGGAAAAAATTATATCTGGGAACCATGGTATGGAAAGTGGACACAATCACTACTCTGCTTGGGAACCTGCACTGCAGGGGACAGCACAGGCCAGAAGCAGAGCTATGGAAATCTCTGATTTAACTCAAACTCATAGCCAAGTTCTGAAAATTACCCATTCTCCACAACACTGAGCAAAACCCAGTGGCCATGGGGACCTCACTGTCATCCATCACAACATTAAAGGTTACCATGTGATTGCACAGTCAGAGGGAATATCTGCTCTCCATTTATCTCAATGCAGCATAAATGTACTCAAGCTGGCTTCAATTTACTTAGCAGATTTGCTGTAGTAGCTGGCTGCCTAAATACAGACAAACAGGCACATGTGCTTTGCAGCCTGTGTTAATCTCTTTATAGACACAGATAGGTTACTACTAGATCCTTAGCTAGCTAATTTTAAACTAGGACAGAAATGTCTATGTTATACCTCTGTCACATAGGTAAGAAACCGGTGCCAGTATGGAAAAACATCAGCACTGTTGAATGTAGGCAGATGTGGATGGACTCTGTCTCTGTCCTTCAGTCTAAAGAATGATCTCTTAAGCCCTGGAAGCAGCTTTTTTGCTCTTTAGCTTAAGAAAATATTGGCATTAGAATGGTCAGAGCATTTTGAAAAAGGTATGAAGATACCTATATTTTTTTAAGCGAAAGCACTGGAAATGGGTTGCCCCTCTGCTTTGCCTGCATGTAACAAGAATGAGCATGTAGGAACACAAGGCTCATACACAATTCCTGCAAAGCAGAGTCTTTCATGTGTTAGTTGTATTTTACATAGTTGTTTTCCAGTTATAATTATGAAAGGATAACTGTTACTGTGGTCAACTCCTCTACGAGTGTATCAGCTTGCTCCCCAGCATCGTCTGAGGGCCATCCAGTCACAGATGCTACAGAAACACCCAGCACAATGAAAAATTTTGGTAAGCAAAAACTCTGATGCTGGGTTCCCTTCTTCTGCTTGCCCCCATTTTATACACCCTCTTTTACTGGAATGCAGTAAAACCCCTTTTAGAAACCATGATATATACAAACTCACCCTATAATGACTGTAAAAACCCATATTTTATGTTATTTTTCTGCTGCAATAAAGTATTGTCAGAATTATGTTCACAGAAATGTAAATGTTTATGGCCTGCAGGATGTGAGAAAACAACAAATTCCTATCTGTGGCTCTTTGTGTTGATGGGGAACCTTTTACGTGGAATTGGGGAAGCACCAGTTATGCCACTGGGGGTTTCATATATTGATGATTTTTCTAAAGAAGAAAACTCAGCATTTTACATAGGTAATATGCAAATGAATGATTTTTATGCTACATATTCTTTTCTTTAACATTTCTATAGCCAAGCAAATACTCACCAAAAAAATCTGTCTGCTCTATTCTGGATAATTTTGAGTTGTACAGAGACAAAAAAACAATGCAAAAGAGATCTCGTGTTTATTTTTGAAGGATATTTCCCAGATGCTCCTTTCGCTTTCCCCAAGTGGCTTCTGCTACATGTGCCAGTTTTCTCTGTGATGAAGAGAAGCATAATCAAATACTCATTTCTTCAAAGTAAGAAGTCATGTCTGTCTTATCTGGCATATCATCTTCAGTACCACAGCTTCAGAGGATAAAATTCTTCCTAATCACTGTTTCACAGAGAAGAGAATGTTCTTTAATGTAAGGATCAGTAATGTAATCACAGTAATGTAAATGTGTTTCAGAAGTTTTTCCCTGACTTTTTGAATTTTACATGCAGCACACTTCCTGATGAAAGCTTTTTAAAGTCACTAGTTACCGAAGGAAAAACCAAACCCTTGCCAGGGTGTTGTAACAAATCCCTTCTAATTGGGATTTTGTTGTTGTTGTTTTGATGGAAGATAGCCTATTGCTCAAGATAGAAAGACTTACACCCAAGCTAATTGATTTATTGTCGAACTGATTTAATAGCATGGAGTGTTTGTGTGGCTGAGGGAGGTCAAAACTGCTGCCTGAAGTAAACTTGGTGAAGTTGAAGTGGTCATAAAGATAGTAAGACACAGTTTCAGAAAGAGCTCAGTATGTAATGCTACAGGGTAAGGCCATTGCAAATGTCTTAATTTGGGGATGAGGAAATCTGCAGGTTGAAGAAAACAGAAGTATTGTGAAGGGAGCTGACAAAAACAAAAGTTCCACTCAGCAGTTATCCAAAATATTTGTAATCGCCTCTGAGCTTCTGATTAAAGGTATTTTAAAAATTTCAGCTGAAATTTTTTCTTGTCAGAATCTGATCTGGGAGAGATTGCAACGGGTTGGGTACTATTAGGGAAGTAAGATTAAAAATATAAAGTAGACACAGAGAATAGTATGGATTCAACCAAAATGAAAATTTGTTTGGGTCATGCAAGTGAAATAAAGTATTTCCTTTATAGAGTATTAAAATATTTCATTTTAACGTTCTGAATAGCAATTTTCAGTCTTATTCCAGTTTGATGGACTGACCCAATTTGCAAAAAAAGTGAATGTTGAAATAGTCTTTTCCATAGAGCTGAAATTCCTTTTCTTGATCAACTTCAATTCTTTTCTATATCTCATTTTTTTATCAGTTGACTGAATCAATTTATGATCAGTGTTTTTGTAAAAACAAAAATATGTTGAAATAGTCTTTTCCATAGAGCTGAAATTCCTTTTCTTGATCAACTTCAATTCTTTTCTATATCTCATTTTTTTATCAGTTGACTGAATCAATTTATGATCAGTGTTTTTGTAAAATACAAAAATATTGTCCTATAATAAAAAAAGTCAGTCAAGCCTTGCTGATGAATTTTGACTGTTGATCTCGTTATTTGACCCTGAGCAAGAAGTTTCACCTTCCTGTCTCTCCTTTTTCTCCTGCCCTTTGGCAGAGTTGTAGTGCAAACGGCAATTGACAGCAATAAAATCGGAGTTGCCATAAGAAGGAACAGAAAAGGAAAAATTAGCGGTTTTGTTAAGCTGTCTTACAGAATTTAGTAGAGGATGGTAGTTTTTCTGTACAACTCTATGACAGGAAATTGATTTTTTTTTTCCAGGAAATTCTATAGTTTTCAGACTGAGTTTTACAGAACATTTTTAATTTATGTAGTTCTACCAGGCCATCGGCGTGGTCCTGAGGTGGTACAATGCACTGTACACCACATACAGTCCTGAAAAGCTGTTCTGCTTGGGGTCACTACTCAGTATGACTGTAAGTTATAGCGATCTGACCCTCTGTGTCTACATGCAATTGGCATTTGTCAAAAGACAGTAATACCAGGATCTCAGTGGTTTGCTTTGTTCTGTGAGGAGCCTTTGGTGGAGCGACCTTTGAGGCCAACTGCTCTGACTGAGAGGCTATTTCATAAATACTCCCCCATGCTAAGCGCTTAGTTTATTCAGGTATTTTATGGTCTTCAGATGTTTCGCTTCTGTTTAGGTGCCTATAGAAGAGTTGCCAACATACATATGAGGATTTCTCCTATACTAATAAGCTTTCAGTAGCCAATTTTTAAAATGAATTTCTGATTTTGTTTGAAACTGAATGCTGGCATGGTTATTTAATGGCAGTAGCCATCAGACTTATCACGTAAGAGGAATAATAGACTATTAAAGATATTTAATGAAGAGTACTTCACTTCCATGGATTTCTCACCAAAGCAGAGGCTTTGAATGAATGAAATTTCATCACTGAGTTGAGCACTAGCATATAATCTTGTATCTATTGAACCTATGGCTTCAGTAGAAACATATTTGAGGCCAATGTATGTTGTAAATCTTAATATCTGTTACATGGGAAATTACTCATCAGTACAAGGGCTTGGCTGAGCTATGTCAATATGCAGCAGCTGATTAACTGATAAGTCTGCATGATTTACTGTCTGTGGTTTAGTCTGTTTATTAATTACAAAGAATAAATATTACAAAGGAAAAATATGCTAAGAAAATATCTCAGTGAACTTATTTGGTTTTGTTTTATCACAATACAAGCATATTATCTTAGTGAAGTTATTCTTGAATTTAAAGGGTATGCAAGTGTGAAATTTAATTTAAAAACTATATATATGCAAAATTATTTCAAATATAGTTTCTGAAAGAAATATACTGCATACAATATACAAGGCCATTGGTATGGGTGTGCTGTTTTTTATCTGCTTATTTTAGAAATTTGCTGCTGAGTATTTGAACTTTGGAGATGAGCTTGCATAGTTCTGAGTAGTAAGTTCTGCTTTAGCCTCACTGATGAATAAACATAAAGAGCTAATTCCTGGCTTCTAGTGTCAAAATTCTGCCTCTACAGCAGTCAGTACTTTTGGAAGCATCAGAATTTAGTCTAAAAGGCCAGATCTTCTGATGAAGTAAAATGAGAGAACTAAATGAAAACAATATGCAATTGGAACAATAAAGCAAAGATGAAAAATGATATGGTTAAATTATGCTGTAAGAATTTATTACAGAAGTCCTTGATCATAAGCTGAGCAATCACTATATTCAGAAGAGAGTTTGCAAAACCAACAGGAGAAAAATCTCTGCAGTAGAACAACACAGTAGGATTTACAGAGCATAGTGATGAATGTTGGCAAGAACTGCCAGGCACTTGGTCAGGAATTCCTTTTTTTCTAATAGCATTTAGCCTTCTGCAACTTCAAACAGCTCCCAGGTGGCAGTTCCATGCTAGAATTCAGAAATCCGAATCACTGAACTGTTTTTGTAACTGTTACCCCCTCACAACTAAACTTCAACCAATCAACACAAGTGACAAGAGAATGTGAGGACCTATGCTTGAATTATTTCGAGGATATTTTTGTTTTATGTTGATTGCCAGCAGTGGTCACCAAAATCAAATTGCGCTGTTTTTACATACCCAGTCAGCAAAATGCAGTCCTAGCTTCCTAGGTTTCTGCTAGCCTTCACAGCTTATTAATTTGCTCCTAGGGGCATCCCACCTTCTTCTGATCCCATGTTATCTCCTTTGTAAGCAGAGACAGAGCAGGAAATGGAAGCCCCAGTGAGGCCAGTAGCAAAACTGAAAGCTGCTTTTAAAGAGGTCATTACTTGATCACTAGATTTCTTGATTTTTTTTACAGCTGCATAAGTGCGGATTAATACAACAGTTAGCTGATTTGCTCATTCTGGTGCTGAATGAATCAACAAAGATTCTGTCTAATGAACTTTGATCACACACAGGGACACTTATATCTCCTTGTTGCCTATTGAAAATACTCTCAGGGTCCTGTATCTAATTCCATGTCCACGCACTTTTATTGTCCCTGTCATCCTAAAGTGACTCCGGACTGCAAAGATGCGCTTCTTACATGCACATCATCAGATCAACTACTGCTACTTAAAATTAAACTAGGGACCTGAACACATAGTACAGGGAAAAGTCCCGACTTCTACAATGACAGAACATCATGCAAGCGGTAAATAGGGTTGCAGGTAGATTTATGATACCTTCAACAGGCCTAGAGTTGTATGTTCATTAGTTAACTGCCACAAGCTGAACAATGCAACTACAAAAATCTGAGGAGAGAAATAGGGAGGGGGAGGGATAAAAATCATTGCAATGTTATTCTCTTTCTCCCTGTTCCTTCCAAGATACCAATCTTGCCAATGAAATGCATGGGGGTGTCCACATGAGACTGCGCTCGCTTCGGCAAAGCCCTGTGCGGGTGAAGGAGCCTGCTTCCACATCACAGCTAGCGTGTTGGCAGCTTACGGCTTATTTTCTTGCTGCTCAGAAGCTTCCCATTAGACATCCCATAACGGCCTGTGCCCCTCTTCTGTCTCCTCCTTCCTCTCTCCTTTTCTTGCCCTCAGAGAAGAAAGTGTGCCTGTCCGCGCAGCGTTTTGCTCACTCTTCTGTGCTACCTCCCTTCTCTTACAGGCCTGGTGAGATCCTCGGGCATGTTTGGGCCGACCCTGGGCTTCCTGCTGGGATCTTTCTGTGCCAGCCTCTGGGTTGACATTGGTGTTGTGGATATCGGTAAGAGACTGTGGGGTGGTGCATTAACGGAGAAGATGGCTGTGTATAGGAACCTGCATGCCAAGAAGCACCTTCCCAGCTTACTACTCCAAAAAGGGGGGCTATCTAGAGAGTTTTTCCTACTCAAAAGCTGGTGTTATTTACATTTTAATATCTGCAGCATTGTAGTGTGACTGGAATAGCCCTTGATGCAAGACCCCTACCCCCACTGCAGAAAAATTTTGCACCTCTTTTTATGCTTGCACACGCTCTTGTTGCACCCTTGCTGCACAGCTGAGAACAAATGAGCAAATGAAAGGCCATCCCCACATTGAGGGAACGGTGAAAGGCCTTTGCTCATGGACAGGCCATCCCCACATTGAGGGAACGGTGAAATTTTTGAAAATTGCTCATTTTGCCTTTCAACACTTGGCAAAAATTATGTTCTCTTAAAAAGCATGCAGAAAAGATTCATATGAAAACTCATTTCATTGTTCAAATCACTTCAAGTCTCTAATCCTAGGGAAAATTTGAGGAACTTCAAGGAAAAACTGTTAAGTTTGGGGATGGAAGAAGGAGGGGACAGTGGGAAATTGAGAAAGGGAGGTTCTTTTTGGGTGGTGAAGGGCCCTCTTGCCACTCATTCCCACAGAAAGTGTTGGAAGATTGTGGCAAGGAAATGCCACCATGGGTCTAAATGGAGACATCTATTTTTGACTGCATGGGACTGGTTTAGAATCATAGAATCATTAAGGTTGGAAAAGACCTCTAAGATCATTGAGTCCAACCGTCAACCCAACACCACCAGGCCCACTGAACCATGTCCCTAAGCGCCGCATCTACACGTCTTTTAAATGCTTCCAGGGATGGGGACTCAACCACTTCCCTGGGCAGCCTGGTCCAATGTTTAACCACTCTTTCAGTAAAGAAATTTGACACAAGCTGCATTTCAATTCTTCATATGAAACATAAATCACCTCTGTTCTGGTCTTTAAATAATCTATATAAGGATACCTATAGTAGGTTTAATTGCTCTGCATGATATTTAATCTATTTTCCTGTCTTTCTGTATTTTATAGATGCCATCAGCATAAATCCTAAGGATACCCGTTGGGTTGGTGCCTGGTGGCTTGGATTGCTTATCTGTGGAGCAGTCAACTTCATTGCTTCATTGCCTTTCTGGTTTCTGCCTTACTCCTTACCAAAAGAAGGAGAGAATGAAAACCTGAAGATTAGTCATTTGCCTTTTCAAGGAGATCACTGTAAAATAGACCCCCCAGCTCAGCCACAGTTAAAGTTCTCAGAGGCAGTAAAAGGTGAAAGATTATTGCCCAAATGTTTGCATGTGAATTCTCTCTCCTGGGTTCATTCTGAGTTAAACATGGATTTGCACAACCCTCAGCAAAATACTTATTTCTGCAGTGGAAATGATGGACAAAAATGCTGTCTTTAATTTGTAGTATTATAATTACATGCTAAGAGTGTGTTTCAGTCCTCTCCTTATGTCAGACAGCTGGAAAAAGCTCATGCTGTTGCTTTGAGCACCAGAGATTCTCAGTTCAACACAGTATTTGTCATATGATGTATTACAGCTATAATCCTATGATTATGAAGGAAGAGGGGGGGAAAACATCCCATCCCTCATTAATGACCAATCCGCAGCTGGCAGGTTACTGTTTCACTGAGGACAACGTATGGGAGGGAAACGTGGGGCTAAGTACTACATTAGCTGTTGGAGGGATTTCACTGGATTCATAGCTCCTGTGTATAAGCTCAGTGATGCTAAATTAACCTCGTATAGGCAATATCAGACCCAACTACCCATTGCTGGACTCCCCCAAGGGTTTTATTCGTATGTATGTATGCATGTGCACACCTTAGTGGCTATGGCAGATGTGTTTTGAACTCTCATCTTTTAGGCAAGTGTGCCAACAAACAGACTACAGGCTAAATGCAGGTTTTTGTCTTCACTTTAATTTCATGGACTTAGATACTCTAATTAAGGGTCTCAGGAAAGGTTCCAGCCTTTTTCTGGGTCAGATGCTCCCTTTCTCTGAATATCAGCCTCATGTGGGGCTCTCGTGTGGTTTGTGAAGGCTCCTGCTTTAGGCACCAAACTTTTCACTTGGTACATTATAGAGAGTCTTAATGCTCCTCTAGGGACACTCTCCTGTACAGGCATTGAGAATCAGTGTTGCAAACCTTAGTGCCTTTGATGAATAGTCCTGTGTCACACAAGATAATCTAGGATTTCTGATTCCCAATTCAGCATCCACTGTGCCATTCAGCCTTGCTGCTCCTCTAAGTCATGTGTTGGCAGTGAGGAAAACTCTCACTTGAGCAAGCATATGTTTTGATAGGCAAAGAATTATAACCTGCAATACAGCCAGTAATTAAACCAAAGTTAGTTTTATTATCTAAAGGATGTCAGAACAACTCTTCTCTGTGTTTAGCAGGGTGTACAGCATATACCTCTCCATTGCAGATTTCTTCCCAGCTCTGAAGAAGCTGTTTGGAAATCCAATTTTTCTGGTGTACATCTTTCTCACTATTCTGCAGTACAATTCTCTTGTTGGGTTGATAACCTATGAGACAAAGTTTATGGAGCAGCAATTTAATGTATCAGTGGCAAGAGCCATCTTTCTAATTGGTAGGTACCTGTCCTTCTTTTAAATTCCAGTGTCAAAAAGGAAGCTTTCCTTTGTTATTTTGCCTTCCTTTTTAGGAGGAGCTTCTGTGAACTTTTTTGGTTAAAAAAAAGTATGTAGTGGTTTATTAATTTTCCTACCATGTTTTGAAAATGACTGTTAATTTTAGTGTTAATTTTCCTGGTGTTCCTAATTTAGTGAGCTAGAGTATTGTCAGAACTGGGTGGATTTTTTAGGGGGCTGAAGTTTTTTTCAGAGTGAGATTTGGGTTATGAATGTGTTTCTTTTCATGAACAAAAGCACACATAAACTGCAACTAAGTAACAACTAAAAGAAAAAAAACATTTAATTTAGAAAATGTTTAATGAAATGTGTGGTTTTCCTTTTCAGAATAACATCTCGATATAAATGTTCTTCCATTTTGATTACAAATACAAATTTTATAAGCAATAAGAAACCAAAATGTAAAATTGTGAGCGATTTCATTCAGCTCAAAGCTCTTTTTCTGTTTGCCAGTTCCTTCAGAAATAAGTTCTCTGTAGTGTTCTACAAAAAAAAGAATGCTGAAATTATAATCTTACAGTGATTAATATGGTCTCATAACCTGGCAAGAAAATCAGGGTATTTGAGGTCGTTGCAGAATTGATATTCCATTACTTTAATCTGAAGGCACTCTGCTTTGCTGTGGGTCAGGTACAAATGTGGGAAGAACTTTCATTTTCCTATCTTTTTTTGGATGCAGGGAAAGTTTTACAAAAACTACATGACCAAAAAAACCAACCAAACAAAAAAACACACAGAGAAAGGCAAACCCCTCACAATAAAACCTTGTAAAAGCTCTCTATTTAACATGTAAATATTAGGGCTGGAGTTTGTGAAATGCTGAATGGATTAAATCTAAATGCAAATTTTTCCATGATTCACTCTCAGAGTAAAATAGAATCCAATGCAAAACCAGACACTACTTCCTTTCATGTTCCATTTTGGAGATGATACTTTTTTTTTGTAACTTTCAGAAAGTTTAATGTTTTATTTTAGACGAGGAAGTGCCCATGTGCTAAGACATTTATCTCATTTACTCCAGTTTCTAACAGGCACCTGTATAGGTTTTATTATGTCAGTATACATACAAACAGCAGTATGGTAAAAAGGTAGGAAATATTGCAGAACCAAGCTTTTTAAAGTCATAACATGAAAGAAAATGAGGAATTAAGCAAAATTACTTAAAGGTAATAAAAAGTTTTAGAATCTCAAAGGATCAGTCCGAAAATAGGTCAGTATCTAATATTTTGGAAACTGCTACAACCAGATATTTATTCTAAAAAGGGTCAATGCAAGTGACAGCAGTTAACATTTTTATTACCTTCTATTTGCAGGTGTGATACTTTTACCCATCACAATCCTGGGGATGTTTCTAGGAGGCTTTCTGATCAAGAAATTCAAACTTCACATAACTGAAATGGCAAAGTTTGCATGCATCACCTTTATAGTAGCATATTTGTTAAACCTCTTGTACTTTACGTGCAGTTGTGAGGTGCTCCAGGTGGCTGGTTTGACAGTGCCCTACGCTGGGTTTGTATCCCCTTGGGTTTGTGTTGGTTGTGTCATTTGTCATGGTTGCTTCCTGCCCCGTGCCGAACGTGGTGCACGCACCTGTATTCCTCTACTCTCACAAACTAATCTGGGTTTGTAATCTCATCGGGGCTACAAACCTTCTACTCTAGAAAACATTTTGATTTGAATTTGGATGAGTTCTGAAACGTGTATTCTCTGTTGATTTACTGTAGCATATTGCTATATCCTTTTGCATAAAAAAAAAAAGTGTGTCTGTTTAAAGACAACAAATTTTTGTTGAAATTGACCTGTATTAGGTCATCTGCTAGTGTCAATCTGTGTGGTTTCAGCTACTGTGATTATATCATTTTACCGCTCCCGTGGTAGTGATACACACAAGAAAATCCTAGGTTTTGAGATAGACTTGTCAGGCTGAAATGATACCTAGTGTTGGGGATGGGCAGAATATCCTGATTTTGTTTTTCAAATTTCATTTAAACTGGACATTTCTTTTTCTAAATTATTTATTGCTGGATATTGACAATATACCTCTATATTCTGGCGAATTGCTAATTAAGATGAAATTTATCACAGGCAAATTAAATTTTTATATTCTATTTCAGAGCTTTAATTTAAAGCCGGTCTCATCCTACCATGTAGGGAGTGGGATGTAAAAAAAGTGTTGAAAGTGGCTTCCCCATAGTCCCCCAACGGCCTTGCCTCTAGAAGGGACCATCTTCTAGATCAGCAGTTATCAACCTGCATGGGGAGTTATCAGCCTCCCTTGGTATCTGGAGCTGCTGACCTGCCTGCGTCCGTTTTCTCAGCTGGGAGGTAGAAAGTGGTCATGTCAGGAGTGTGTGCTGCCCAAACAGACGTTCCCCCTCCCTTACCAGGACCATGGTCATGCTTTCCTGAGAACGTTTTGCTGATTCTAGCAGCCTGCCACAATTGCCTACTGTTTAAATTTAGCTCAGTCTGGTCCAACAAATTTCAAGGGATTTTAAAGGATTAAACTGAATCCAGTAGGGCTTGCTAGATTTTCACTTCAGACAGAAACTCAGTCCTGCGTTTTTTGAAACTGAGCCTATGTTCAGGGAAATATTGAAGTTGTTTTGGCAAACCTGACACCCAGTTCAACTTTGAGGTTAGTTACATAAAAGATGTCAGAGGTTTGTGCAGTGGAGATAACTCTGGTTGAGTGCAACATCGGATACTGTAGAGTTGTGGTTTAACCCAGCAGGCAGCTAAACACCCCACAGCCATTCGCTCCCTCCCCCCCCATCCCCAGTGGGATGGGGGAGAGAATCGGGGGAAAAAGAAAAAGAGTAAAATTCGTGGGTTGAGATAAAGACAGTTTAATAGCACAGGAAAGGAAGGGAAAATAATAATGATAATAATAATGATAAAAGAATATACAAAACAAGTGATGCACAGTGCAATTGCTCACCACCCGCCAACCAATGCCCAGCCAGTTCCTGAGCAGCGGTTACCACCCCCCAGCCAACTCACCCCAGTTTATATACTGAGCATGACGTCATATGTTATGGAATACACCTTTGGCCAGTTTGGGTGAGCTGTCCTGGCTGTGCCCCCTCCCAGCTTCTCGCTGGCAGAGCATAAGAGGCTGAAAAGTCCTTGACTAGTGTAAGCACTGCCTAGCAACAACTAAAACATCAGTGTGTTATCAACATTATTCTCATGCTAAATCCAAAACACAGCACTGTACCAGCTACTAGGAAGGAAATTAACTCTATCCCAGCTGAAACCAGGACAAGAGTGAATTAAAAATAAGCAGAAACATCAAGACAGCAAATACTGAAAGAGCAATTACAGTTTATCCAGGAGAACTGAGACTGGAGAATTTAGCATGTGCTAGGATTGTTCTGGTTAAGCAACTCACATACTGTTTTACCCGTTTAACAATTTGTAGTTTGAAGATGAGCAACAGCCTAACGAGGGCTAAACCCCCCAGTTACTTTCCCTTCTAGAAGACTTAGGAGAAATGTAGCCCCCTTGAGGTGTGTTTTGGATTGAGGGGTAAGGAGGAGGAAAAGGCAAATTTTGAACACTTTTTCCTTTATAGTGTGAGTGACTTCAAAACAGGGGTGATTTGTAAATGATGGACTCCTAACACTTTCTGAAAATTGAGCCCTGCTACCATGCCCTCAGAGTCGCTGGCCACTTTTTAAATTCTGAATTCTAGTTGTCATCTACTTAGTTTAACTCGTTGGGGCCTGATTTTGATGTTTCTTACAGAAATTTTGGTAAAAGTGGAAGCTATGGAAGTCCATGATAATATACAACAAGAAATGAGATCTGATAAGAAATGGGGCTCAAGCCTGTTCCAGGTGCAGGGCTGCTGCTGCTGCATACAGTCAGAGCTGAGACAGAAGCAGCACTTCTCACTCAGACTCATGCAACTTTCATTACCACTGACCAGCTCTGATCCAGTGAAAAAAATGTCAAGGACATCTTGCTGCTGTAGTTTTATGGAGTTTTATGTCACCACTTCTAGCACCCAGATATGGTATGATATCTACTGCTAAGGAAAAGCATGGCCAGTCTACAAGTGATAAGAGATTCTAGGTGTGATTTTCTTTTTCTTGGGTTGAGCTTTCAAATGAAAAAGTAATACCAAATATTCCCTCCCAGTCAAGAATACCTAGTTTGCGGGTTCCACGGCTTTTCAGCAACAAGCCATAAAAATGTTAATGCTTGATGAAAAATCTCAAGAGAGCTTTGGTTTAGCTGAAATTAGCTTAGTCTCCATATGACAACTTCACAGTCCATTGGATGGTAGCAGATACCTGTCCATGTTGATTGCTTCACTTTCTTCACGTTTTTCCTGCCTACTCCCTGATGTTTTGTTTGATTATATAATTCAACTAAATAGTTCTTTTATTTCTTTCTGTTTTCCTCCAGATTAAAGCATCTTTCCTCCCCCAAAAACAGCTTCATGGCCAGTTGCAATGCTGACTGCAGCTGCAAGCTGGATCAGTGGGACCCTGTATGTGGGGATAATGGGATCACTTACATGACGGCCTGCTTTGCGGGATGCAAATCATCAACCGGGATGGGAAAGAATATGGTAAATATATAGGTGGATAGATGATTATTTAGTAAGGCCTGTTGCAATAGGACAAGGGGTAATGGTTTTAAACTAAAAGAAGGTAGATTCAGACTAGATATAAGGAAGACATTTTTTATGCTGAGGGTGGTGAAACACTGGAACAGGTTGCCCAGAGAGGTGGTGGATGCCCCATCCCTGGAAACATTCAAGGTCAGGT